GAGAACGATCTGGCCGTTTGCTTCCATAAAGACTCCCACCTTGCAAACACTGTGGGCAGTTCCACTCTGTCCTGTTGTCAAGTGCCATCGAGTCCGTCCCAACTCATAGTGACTCTCCGTAAAGCTTCCAAGGACTCCTTGGTGGTTTGAAGCAACCTTGCCGTTAGCAGTCCAGTGTTTAGCCTGTTGCACCACACCAGGACTGTCTTCAAGGGTTACTGTGGCCTATAGGGTCAGAATGAACTCACCAGCAGTGGGTAATGTGTGATACTTTCAACTTATTACCAAATGGTTCTGAAAGAAAAAGTAGTACATGCAATTCTCTGTGTGTGGGGGGTAGTGTGTGCGTGTGCGGAGAATGCGAGAGCAGCGATTGTAGCAAAATGCCAACAATTTGTGAATCTGGGTAGACATGGAGGTGTTCATGTACTATGCTGTCAATCTTTCTGTAGGTTTGGCATTTTTCAAAATAAAAATTGAGGATAAAAATTAGGGTATGCGCTCCCATATAAACTATCACAGAATTCACAATAATAAAAAAATAAATAAATAAAAGAGAGATTTGGTGACCCCTATGTGCTGCTGCAGGATAATGCACTAGATCACAAGGTCAGTTTGAGTAGAAAGGTTGGCGGTTCAAACCCACCAGCCGCTCCTCAGAAGCCTTATATAGGGTCACTATGAACCAACTTGAGGGCACTTAACAACAACAATGTCCTAAAATGTTTGCATAAGTCATTACATCTAGAATGCCTTTCCCTCAATTATTATCACCTGACAAGGTCCTCGTGCTGCTTCAGAACTCATGTGATCTGCCATTTCTTCCAAGAACTTGTTCCTACAGCTCCCAGTCTGACTTAGATATTCTTCGTCTCTGCTCCACATCACACAGTGCAAACCTCTTTTGTTGTTCGTAGGTGCCATCCGTTTGGTTCCGACTCAATAGCAACTTATGTAGAACAGAAGAAAACGCTTCCCAGTCCTGCATCATGCTCATAGCTGTTAATGGGTTTGGGCCCACTGTTATAGGCACTGTGTTAATCCATCTCATTGAGGTTCTTCCTCTTTTTTGCTTATCTTCTATTTTACCAAGCATGATGTCCTTCTCCAGCGACTGGAATCCTCTCGATAACATGTCCAAAGTACAGGACCTGAAGTCTTGCCATCCTAGCTTTTGAGGAACATTCTGGCTATACTACTTCTAAACAGATTTGTTTGTTCTTCTGAAAATTCATGGTATATTCAATATTCTTCACCAACACCATACATAGTTCAAATTCCTTAATTCTTCTTCAGTCTTCCTTATTCATTGTCAAGTTTTCGTATTTACACCATGTACTGAAAATACTCTGGCTTGGGTCAGGCACACCTTAGTCCTTAAAGTGATGCATTTGCTTTTTAACATGTTAACGAGACTTTTGCAGTAGATTTACCTAGTGTAATACCTCACTGGCATCAAGTCAATTCCAACTCAAAGCCACCCTCTGTAGGGTTTCTGAGACTATAAATACTTACTGGAGCAGACAGCTTCATCTTTCTCCCTGGGAGTGGCTGGTGGTTTGAACTGATGACCTTGAGGTTAGCAGCACAACGCCTTATCTGCAGTGCCACCAGAACTCCTTTGCCCAGTGCAAAATGTCATTTGATTTCTTGACTGCTGCTTTCATGAACGTTGATTGTAGTTTCAAGTAAAATGAAATCCTTGGAAAAAAAAAAAAATTCAGGCATGCACATTGAAGAGGAACATCACGTTCACTGTGAGAACATCTCAAGATCTGTCCGGAAGAAGCGTATGTGCCATTGTTTTAATGAAGCACTCACATCTCCTCAGCTTCTTTATTGCTATGTTTACAATAAGCCTACTGATGACATGGTAATTCATGGTTGAGTTTCAAAAAAAAGATATGTTCATTGTTCATTAAGCATATACAGGTCATTTAAATAACAAAATATTGTAAGAAACATGTAGAATTTTAAAAACAAGAGTTTGGACCTGTAAAAACCATCTTTCCTGAGGTACTGTGCTGTCAATGATAGGATAGTATCCATACGCCTAAATGGACGACTGATTCAGATAGCTATTATTCAAATTTACACACCATCTACTAATGTCAAAGATGAAGAAATTTAAGATTTACCTGCTTCTATAGTCTGAAATCGATTAAACACGCAATCAAGATGCTTTGATAATTACCGGTGATTGGAATGGGAAAGTTGGAACAAAAAAGAAGGATCAGCTCTTGGAAAACATTGCCTTCGTGATAGAAACAACTCTGGAGAAGTCATGATAGAAATTTGCAAGACCAATGAACTAATAATTGGAAATAACATTTTCAACAACATAAAAGGCAAAAATACATGTGGTCCTCACCAGATGGAATCCAATTGACTACATATGAGGGAAGAAATGATGGAGACGCTCAATATCATAAGCCAAAAGAAGACCCAGGTCAGTTGTGGAACTGACCATCATTTGCTCATATTGCAAATACAAATTGAAGCTGAAGAAAATCAACACAAGTTCATGAGAGCCAAAACATGACTTCGAGTCTACCCCACCTGAGTTCTGAGACCACCTCAACAAATAGATTTGATGCACTGAGCACTAATGACCAAAGACCAGTCAAGTACGGGGGTCACATGTGCTACATAAGGACAGCGTACACAAAGAGCAAGAAGAAGGCATTCAAACAAGCAATCAGGAAAGAAAGAAAAAGCCAAAATGGATGTCAGAAGAGATTCTGAAACTTGCTCTTGAATGTACAGTAGCTAAAGCAAATGGAAGAAATAATGAAGAAAAAGAGTTGAAGGTTTAAGAAGACATTATAATGAAATGTGCAGACGTGACGTTAGAGAGCCAAAAGAAGAACATGCTCAGCAGTTCTCAAACTGAAGGAACTGAAGAAAATTTCAAGCCTCGAGTTTCAAAATCGAAGGAAGGATCCCTGGTGTGACAATATAGGATAAGTACTGGACTGCTAACCACAAGGTTGGCAGTTCAAATTCACCAGTCACTCCTTGGAAACCTTGTTTTATTGAGTATGCAAAGACATTCAAATGTGTAGATCACAGCAAAGTATGGGTAACATTGCAAAGAATAGGAATTCCAGAACACTTACTTGCACTCTTGTGCAATTACCTGTACATAGACCAAGAGGCAGTCTATTGACTGGAACAAGAGGACATGGATGCTGTGTGGTTTGAAATCAGGAAAGGTGTGCATCATGATTGTATCCTTTCACCAAATTTTCACCAACATTCAGTGTGTATGTTAGCAAATAATCTGATAAACGGGACTATATGCAAATGAAGGCATCAAGTTAGAAGAGAGACTTATTAACAACCAGATACCACAGCCTTGCTTGCCAAAAATAGAGGACTGAAACCCTTACTGACAAAGATCAAAGCTTACAACCTTCACTATGGGTCACACCTGAACATAAAACAAAACCCCCTCACAACTGGACCAATAAGCAGCATCTTGATAAACGGAGGAAATTCGAAGTTGCCAAGGATTTCACTTTACTTGGATCCACAGTAAGCAGCGAGAAAAGACCACTTTAAAGCGTTAAAAACAATGAAGATGTCACTTTGAGAACTAAGTTATGCCTAACTCAATCCATGGTATTTTCAATTGCCTCATATTCCTGGGGAAGCTGGATAATGAATAAGGAAAACTGAAGACGAAGAATTGAAGCCTCTGAATTCTGATGTTGATGTAGAATATTGAATATACTGTGAACTGCCAGAAGAATGAACAAATTTGTCTTGGAAGAAATTCAGTCAGAGTGCTCCTTGGAAGTGAACATAGTGAGACTCTGTCTTGCATACTTTGGACATGTAATCAGGAGAGACCAGTCCCTGGAGAAGGACACTGTGCCTGGTGAAGTAGAGGGTCAGCAGAAAAGAGGACCCTCACTGACATGGATTGACACAATACCTTCAACAGTGGGTTCAAATCTAACAGTGATTGTGTGGATGGCATAGGACCTGGCCGGATATCATTCTGTTATGTGTAGGTTGTTATGAGTGGGAATGAGCTCATCATCAGCAACAACCTTTTTGACAGAAGCAGATAATTGAGGTGGAAATGAGCTCTTTTACACAAAACTTTTGTAAGCTTTGGGGCCACTTATTGCCCACATGCCCTAAGAGTGCCCTGACTCTAGGGCATGCGTCCATGGGTCAAAGGTAGGGTCAGCTCTGAGGACAAACAAATCCAGTTGGGGGCTCCTGGTGTACACTGGGATGCCAGACTCAGATTTGGATGCATTAGTTGCATCCAGATCATTGGCATTACATTAACAGAGGCACCACTAGGGTTTATCTCTTGTCATCACTTTGGGCCTTAACTGCCTTCTTGGGAAGAGGAGGTCAAAGCTTGCAGAGTTATATTTACTGTGTCTTCTCCCTGCTATTGGTTCTGGTGGACAGCCTCATCTTTCTCCCATGGAGCAGCTGGTGGGTTCCAACTGCTGACCTTTTGATTATCAGCCAACACTGTGCAACCAGGGTTCCTTCTATTGGCTCTGGAGGACTACAAACCCTAAATATATGGAGAAGAACAGTTGGCCAGACGCATGGGGTCAGGGACTGTGTTCCCAGCTACGCCATTCCGTCTGCCAGCTTGGTAGCTTGGGTGGAAGACAGAGTGAAGTATCTGACGGTTACCCAAGGATTGAAAGTCTGGAATCCAGTCCCAGACCCTCCAGATTTACCCTGCAGATTTACCAGAGAGCTGGAAGTCTGGAGAACCCATATCTGGAAAGGCATCGAGTCCTCCTAGGTAAAGTCTCTGAACCTGTGAGAAAGGGACTATCAAGCAGTGTTGAAACACCCAGGGCCTCAGTGTCAGTTTCCACCAAAGCACAGAGCATTTCCTGTGCCTTTTCCTTTATTTCACAAGCTACGTCTCTCGCTTGCCTTCCGGATTCAGACGAAAGGGCTGCTTCTCCTTCCATAAGCCAGACGGCTCGCTCTGGCATCTCCTGGCCAGCGTCATGGCTAAGACCCCCAGTGACTATCTCCTGGACTGCCTGGAGGAGCTGGTACCCTATGAATTTGAGAAGTTCAAATTCAAGTTGCAAAATACCAGCCTGGAGAAGAAGCCTTCTCGTATTCCCCGGGGCCTGCTCCAGATGGCCAGGCCAGTGAAGTTGGTCACTCTGCTGGTTAACCACTATGGGGAGGAGGACGCTGTACAGCTGACCCTGCAGGTGCTGCGGAGTATCAACCAGCGACTCCTGGCAGAGGAGCTCCACAAGGCCACCACCAACCAGGGTAAGGTGGGGCCCCCGGGCACCTCATTTCCTTGTGTTGTCTGTTGGCTATTGGTGGGGATGAAGTAGAAGGCGAGGGAGGGAAGGTGTGTTCAGACACAGGCATTCTGACTTGGAAATTAGAAATCCCAGGTCTACCAGATAGCACTACTTGGTGTTTGGGGTTGGATTAGTAAAGATCTCTAAGACTCCTAAAGGACTTAAAAACAAAACGAAACAAACCCCAACATAAAAGGCAGAGACGCTGCTGTCTGGCTTTGGAGAGGCAGGTGCTTGAGCCCCTCGTGGTAGAGATCTCGGTTGCTTCATTTGTGATGAACACATACGTACAGACACGTCTCACCGTGTTAGCAAACGGCTTGCTAACCAGTCATGCTAACGGTCGGTATGTGATCTCATCGCTTTCCCACCTAGTTTCAGTCTGAGTTCCTCTTTCAACTCCCTTTTTTGTTGTTTTTAAATGCCATGGAGTTCATTTAGACTCTCGGTGACTTTGTAACAGAGTAGAAGTATCCTGTAGGGTTACAAAGACTTCTTTAGGTATTTCCTGTGGGCCTAATCCAAGATCAGTATTTGTTTTTAAATGTCTTCAGTGTTTGGATTTTTCTTTTTAAAAGTAATTTTGAGTTTTGTTTCACATAAGCTGCCGCTCTATCCGGGAACTTCGAATGTGATCCTTTTCAGAGCAGTTGGTAGTGGTGACTGGACTCGATTTTTCTTCTCTTTCTAAAATTTAAAACTACATTAGAAATGCTTTTCTTTTGCTTCTATGAAGTAGAATAATTTAAATAATACAAGAATTCTCTATTCCTTATCAGAGTAGTAGCACTAAATAGCAAAGCATCTGGTTCTGGTGTAGTTTGTTGAGTAGGCTTTCCAAATGATCTCTTCCCGTTTTAAGATCTAATTATTCATACCTTTAGGACTTCTCACCAGGTTTTGAGCCAGTTTTGGTAATTTACTAAAAGTTTTCCTTAGGCAGTCAACAGCAAATTGCTTTAAACACCTTTAAATTTTACTAAGAGCCTTTTCAAAAGAAAGATTAAGGTGCTAATTGCAGGATTAGCCCTGGACTGTGAAACTCAAGGTCATCAGTTCAAACTCACCAGCAGCTCCTCGGAAACCCTACCCAGGGGTTGCTATGAGTCTGAACAGACTCGACATTAACAACAACAATTACAGGTTACCCTCATTTTCTTATGAGTCATGGTTTTCAAATACTATTTCACAGATTCTTTAGCAAATATTTGGTTTAAAGTTTCTTTTTTGCTTACCAAACTTTTACACACTCATACTAAAAAGTGTCTTTAAGCAATTTTTAAAAATCTTGGAGCACTTCAGTATTGATAACCCTTACTGTGCTTGAACGGATTTTTATATAGACTTTGGAATTAACCCTTTCCTGCCATTTGTATTGAATGAAGCAGTACTCTGAGATTTTCAGGTGAGCTTGTTGAAAAATGTCCATTTAAACTTATCTGTGTCAATGAAAATTTTCTATAAATCATACTACCAAACAAAAACTACCACTTGACTGTCAGTTTGTCGTATTGTGGTGGCTTGTGAGTTGCTGTGATTCTGAAAGCTATGCCACCAGCATTTTAAATACCAGCAGGGTCACCCGTGGTGGACAGGTTTCAGATGAGCTTGCAGACGAAGACAGACTAGGAAGGCAGAGTGACGAACTACTTCCGAATATTTAGTCACAGAAAACCTTATGACTAGCAGAGAAACACTGTCAGTTATAGTGCTGGAAAATGAGCCCGTCAGGTTGGAAGGCACTCAAAATGCGACTGGGGAAGAGATGCCTCCTCAAAGTAGAGTTGACCGTGATGATGTGAATGTAGTAAAGCCCTTGGGAGAGAAGCCTGTGGGACCTTCAAAATGAAGACAAACAGCTGTAAACATGCATTGAAAATCTGAACATGGAATGTACAAAGTATGAATCTGGGAAAATTGGAAGTTGTCAAAAATGAAATGGAATGCATAAACATCGTTATCTTAGGCATTAGTGAGCTGAAATGGACTGGTATTGGCCATTTTGAATCTGACAACCACATGGTTTACTATGCCGGGAATGACAAATTGAAGAGGAATGGTGTTGCATTCACTGTCAAAAAGAACACATCCAGATTAGTCATGAGGTACACTGCTGTTTGTGATAGGATAATATCCATGTTCCTACAGGGAAGCCCAGTTAATACCACTATTATTCAAATTTAAGTACCAACCACTAAAGCCAGTGAGAATGAAATATAATTCTACCAGCTTCTTCAATCTGAAATTGATCAAATATACAATCAAGATGTATTGATCACTACTAGTGATTGGAATGCAAAAGTTGGGAGCAAGAGGAAGGATCAGTAGTTGGAAAATATGGCCTTGATGATAGAAATGATGCTGGAAAAAGCATGATAGAATTTTGCAAAATCAATGATTTGTTTATTTCAAATACCTTCTTTAGACAACATAAGACACGACTATACACATGGACCTCACCAGATGGAATACATAGAAATCAAATTGACTACATATGCAGAAAGAGAAGATGGAAAAGCTC